ACCCTGTCCTCCATTGGGGTGGGAGAGGCCAATCGCAGGAAGGGGCTGGGGGGAGGAGCTGTGGGAGGTTGGCCAGTTGGCTCCATCCCCAATTGGGCCAGGTTTGCTGGCTGCAGTGGGCGTCATAGCGACCGGTCATTCTGGTTGTTACAGCGTTGTGGTCACTGGCTTTTTATATGTATAGACTAGGGGCCCGGTACACAAATTTGTGCACTCCAGGGGTCCCTCAGCCCGGCCTGTGCCCTCTTGCAGTCTGGGACCTCTTGGGGGATGTCCACCTGCTGGCTTAGGCCTGCTTCCCGGGGGATCGGGCCTAAGCTGGCAGTCAGACATCCCTCTGGCAGCCCGGGAGCCCTTGGGGGATGTCCACTTGCCAGTAGGGAGCAGGCCTAAGCTGCAGTCGGACATTCTTAGTGCTGCTAAGGAGGCGGGAGAGGCTCCCCGCCACCACCGCTGTGCTGGCAGCCGTCAGCCTGGCTTGTGGCTGAGCAGAGCTCCCCCTGTGGAGCACACTGACCACCAGGGGGCAGTTCCTGCATTGAGTGTCTGCCCCCTGGTGTCAGTGTGTGTCATAGTGACCAGTCATTCCAAGTCGTTCTGCTGTTAGGGTCAGTTTGCATATTACCCTTTTATTATATAGGATATCAGGTTCATTACACCTGGAAAGTGTGATTTGAGAATGATTGGTACTTGGCACTGAATCTGGGCACCTCCCTGTAAACCATTAGCCCAGCCTGGCCACCGTACCTTTACCCAGATTCAGAAAGAGCCAAAGACCAGCCGAGTGGGACCCGCCAAGGCCGCCCATTCAGAGCTTGCTCTGCACAGCCAGCCGCCTGCACTGTGCTTGGCAGAGACTTAAAGGCAGGCAGCAGGGAGGGAGCGCCCTACAGCGGGACGGAGCGAAGGCCCCGCTGTGCCCTGTGGAGGCTGTTGGCCTGGGAAGCTGGAGGCCGGTGGACTAGAAGTGGGGTGTCCTGTGCAGTTGGTTAGGGGTGGGTGCTTGGTTTTCTCTGGCTGGTCCTAAGTAGGAAGCAGGGACAAAATTTCAGGAAGGCGTCAGTTATTGGTCAAGGCCTGGTCATTTTGGATCAATTGGTGCAGAAGTTGTTGTTTCACTTCCTAGACTGTCCCTAGCATAGCCGTGTGCCTCGCTCCGGACTGGAGCAGAGCAGGCTGGCGTCCTGGGATGTGAATTGCAGATACGGTCGGTTTAAGACAGGTTGCCATAGGCTGTGGGTCAGGGTTCTATTTTTCATGTGGTTTGACCTTTGTCTGTATATTTAGTCTCTCACGCTATTGTTAGAGTTTCTGATGCCATTAGTTCACTGTTGACCAAAACTCCCCTCACCCCTGGGTCTCCCTCTGGCCTTGTGTGGGTTATTGGGTGGCGTATGGATGGTACCTCGGGATCTACAAGGCTTTTCTCGTCCTCCATCGTCACTCAGGTACCTGCCCTAGAGCTGCCAGCTTGGCGCCTGAGCAAGTAGGTTCTGCAGGAAGCGCCCAGGGAGAGAGCGGCAGCGCTTTAGGCGGCGGTCGCGTCTGCTTAAAGTGTTAGTGCCCTCTCTGAATGAAATGGGGCGTGGTGGTCTGGCTGTACTCTTAGAGACGGGACGTTGTTTGTCCTGGAAATTTCCTTTCCTTATAACTGTCACTTTTCTAACACGATTCTGAACATTTGTTCTGAGATGCAAAACTCCAAGAGGTAGCCCAGGGAGCCCTGGGCCTCCCAGAACCTTCTGGAAACTGAAGGAGAGAGCAGGAGAGAGGCTCTGGCTCAAGCTCGGCCGTGAAAGCAGGTGCTCAGACGGAGACGGGAGAAACACGCTCCGCAGGAGGCCGGTTCCCACCGAGTTAACCTCCATTCACTGTTCCCACCAGGTCTGTGGGCGGGGATCATCGTCTGCACCGTCTGTCAGGCCGCGTGCTTCCTGGCCTTCATCGCTCGGCTGAACTGGGAGAAAGCCTGTCAGCAGGTAACGCGCTCACTGCCGGCGGCCAGGTCCTCCCTAGGAGAGTCCGCTCGGCTCTCCCCTCTCCCCCGCCCCTTCTTTCGCTCTCATTCTTTTTACTCTCTTGTTGTGGATTCATCTGCATCTAATTCAGACTTGAAGGGCCAGATGACCCTTGCTTTACTCATTCCCCTTTGTTTATTCATTGAATAGGAAAATGGGGGGTTCCTTTCTTCCTGGGATCCCCTGCTGGGCCACTTCCCTTGCGTCTGACAAGCCAATTTCAGGACAAAATTTGGAACTGGAAAGGTGGCGTGCCATCACACGTCTCCTGATGCTGTTTTTATGACCCCAAAACATTCTGTTAAGATACATGTGTGCACCTTTCTCCCCAACTTTCTAGGGTCAATGTGGGGTTTGAAAAGTCGGTGAAGGATGAATGAGATAAAGGGCAAGAGGGGCTAACTCTAGATGATCTGGGACCCCCACCTCCCCCTCATCTTTTCCGTCCAACCTCCCCCACTCACTGACCCCATGTCAGTCATCATGAAAGATGAGTCCATACGTGTGAACAGGAGAAGCTCCAGTGTTACATGTGAATGAAAGAAAATGGCTGGGCTTTCCCTGAACTGGGTAGTCAAGTCAGATAGGCCCCTACACCGTGGAGAGCTGGGGATTCACTTGCATTTCGTTTGTAGGCTCAGGTACATGCCAACATGAGACGACCTGTGGCCCAGGATGGGACTTCGCTGGCTCAGGACCTACTTGACCCAGGTATGCTCTGGCTGCTGCACCCGGACAGCCGCTCCAGGCGGTCCTGGGGCCCTCTGTGGGCCACACCTCCATCTGCTGCTGTGAGTTTCCACTTGAATAAGGCGAGAAACACCCAATTTGGGGTAAAAGACTTGAGATTCATTTGCTCTAACTCCGGACAGGAGCCTACTGCTACCCACGACCCCAGTCTGCAGGTAGCCACTCCCGGGCTGGTGGTGGTGCTCCTGCAGCCCCTGTGGGCGGTTCTAGTGCGCGGTGGCCCTGGGCTCTGGCCTATCTGGGAAACTGGCATTTGCATGTTTGTTCCAGTGGGTTTTCCTGTTCACCAGGCAATACGTGAGCCTTAAGCAGATTATTGTCTTGGCTGTTGCTTCTGACAAACACCATGCAGATGACTTTCTCGTTTTCCTCTGTCAGCTTAGCAATTCCCCGGGTTCCGGGTTCCCAAGGCACTCAGTCAGTGCTCACACTCGTCCTTCGCTCCTTTAGAACGGAAACCCTTTGAGCTCATGGGTTGGCTCAGTCACAATCAGTGGGCGAGTCTGTTTTTCTGCCATATCTCGCTCGCATTGCGTAGTCTCCCAGGTGCCTCGTAATCGCAGATCGTTTTCTAGGCTTTTCGCGTTTGAAAGTGTTTGTCCAAGTAATTTGAGGCCCAAGATGGTGTTGTCTGTCTCCAGAGAGGGTTCCCCTTTGCTTCTAACACTTGCTTACTAGCCGTCCAGAGCAGTGGCAGAAATGGGAGCTCTGGCCCTCCCATCCCCCCGCCCCCGGCCCCCGGCTCCCCCAGAGGTGGCCGTGTAAGGGCTGGCTACTTCTGGTTCATGCCTGTTCTCAGTGCAGCCCTTCAGAGCTCCAGCCTGCAGTACAGAGGGCTCGCCTGAGGCAGGGCACGGCTCTCCAACTGCTCCTCCAGGGAGACTCTCGGCCAAAGGTGGCCCCAAGTGCCAGCTCCCTGGCCGGGTCCGCCTGCCCCAGCCCCAGGCCTTGCACTGGTGACTGCCTGTCCATTGCACTGCTGTGCTCCAGCGCCTTCAGGGTGGTGTTGGCTTGCTTCGCCAGCTCTCGGATTGTCTTCAGGGAAGGGCTGGCCCAGTCTTCTGCCCCCACCACGTGTGAAAAGCAGGAGACAGCAGCCTACCTCGCATGGCTGTGTGAGAGCAGTGGCTCACGCACGTGCAGGGCCTCTCGCAAAGAAGCATTTGTAAGTGTAGATGACACTGTTCTATGCAGATGACACTGTTCTGTTTGCAATGGTTTTCCCTCCGAAGTCATCCTCACGCCGTGTATGCTTAGTGACAGGTCTGTTCTTGCTCCATTATGTCACCTGCCTTTGTTCTCTTCTTGGGAAGCTTTCAGGAAATCGTTCTCACGCTCACTATCTAAGGGTCTCGAGGCTACATCCAGGCCAGTCCGGTCCCGTCCTGCGGGCACGCGCGGCCCTCAGGGTGGAGTCACATCCCTCCTTGGTTACAGCACGTGAATGGCCCTGAATTACTGCCTAGGCTTTCCTCTCTGCCGGCCTTCTCCTCTTCCTGACGATTGCATAGGTGTGGTTCCTTGAAGTCTCCTCCGAATTTTAGCTTCCAGAGCCACCACCTGCCTCTAGGTCAGTGATGGCGAACCTATGACACACGTGTCAGAGGTGACACGCGAACTCATTTTTTTGGTTGATTTTTCTTTGTTAAATGGCATTTAAATCTATAAAATAAATATCAAAAATATAAATCGTTGTTTTACTATGGTTGCAAATATCAAAAAATTTCTATATGTGACACGGCACCAGAGTTAAGTTAGGGTTTTTCAAAATGCTGACACGCCGAGCTCAAAAGGTTCGCCATCACTGGCCTAGGTGGTGGGTGGGCAGGGCTCCGTGGGCCCGCATGGCAGCAGCCGCTGGCCAGGGTGTGCGGTGGGCGATGGAGAGGCCTCTGAGAAGGAATTGCTTTCATTTCTCTGTGGAGCAACTGCTTCCGGAACCACCTTTCTCCGCTAGTAACACACGGTACACGCACCTCTGCTGTCCCTTTTATGCAGATGGAGAGTTCCTGCCAAGCGGCTAACTGAGTTCCTTTCCCCAGGGGGCCCTGGAAGCCGGGGAGAGACCGGGATGAGAGACGCTGAGAAGAAAGACGAAGCCCCGCTGGATCAGCAGCTGCACCAGGAAGCGGCCCCTCGGAGGCCCAGGCCCAGGCCGCCGGCCAGGCTGACCGGGAGGCAGCTGGCGCTGCGGCGGGGGCTCCTGCTGCTGGGGCTCCTGGCCGTGCTGCTGGCGGGCGTCCTGGTGCGGGTGTGTGTCCGAGCTTAGGGCGGCGGAGAGAGAGTCGGGCCAGTAAGACTTTTGGGCTCACAAGCAAATCATTCATAGGCCCCGTGGGGATTTGTCTGCCGGTAAGGCAAGTCAGCCGTGCCCATGGCTTCAAGAACTGAGAGTTCAAAGATGTATTTTCCAAGGAAGAAAATGAACCAAGTGAAAACTACGTTCTTACCACGACAATGTCTGAGAAGTCACATCAGAGGGAAGTTCATCCCTCCAAGGACCACTGTGCGGACTGCATTCCTCGTGGCTTTGCTGTTCTGCTCACTGTTTCTTTAGATACAAACCCATGTGCTGAGTGCTTAAGGGCTGCTGCTATCTGAATTATTTAAAATATGTTACAATATATTTTTCCTTGTGTCTCAGATTGTTATTCAGTGGGAAACAATACTGTAAATTTTCATCTGGGGTCAGAGCTCAGGCACCGAGGGCACTGGAGACGCTTACGAAACGAAAAGAGGAGACCCGGTTACTCAGAAGCTGACCAGGCCTGGCGAGGAGCCACCCCCCGCGGCCTCCAGTGAGGAGGGTGGTGCGAGCGAAGGCCCCCTGTGGCGGCAGCCCCGGAGAGAACCGGGCTGGAGGAGCCAGCGGGGGAAGAGGGCCTTTCCAGGTGGTGACGGAGGGATGATAACGTTGGGGCAGCCCCCACGCAGCGGCCCCTTCACCCTGTCACCCCGCGATCCAGGAGGTGCCACCTTCGTTTTCTCCCTTTGCTCGAGGTTCCCACAGATCAGGGTGCGGGGCTGCTGTACCTGCTGCTTCCGCCTTCTCCCTCCGCAGTCCTTGCCCAGTGGGCGCTCTCACTGGCATCGCCATGCCATGCGGGGGCAGCGGGGACGGCGGGGGGGTCGAGCTGGATGCCCTGATGATGGCTGTATCGGCAGGTTATTTGGGCCGACAACATGGTAAAGCCCCAGAATTGGAGTTGTATTATGTCCGACCTGCCTTCCTTTACAGCAGTGATTTCCAACCAGCTGCTGAAAGAAGTTTAAAAACATGCAGTACCTGACTAGTCAGGGCGCTGACCTCTTTCCCCTTCGATTGTCAGGTAAAAAAATGACAGCAGCCAGCACAGTAGCCCTTGGGTGTGAATGAATCACAAGGATACTTTTTTGGGGGTCAGATCTGCAATATATATATTTTCTTGGTGCGCTGCAGAACTGTATTAGTTAGTTTATGTGCCACGAGATACAAAGGGTGGAAAACCCCTGCTCTACAAGGTTGGAGCTTGACCAGGGATGCCAGTACCGCAGCTTCAGATCCCAAAGGCAATCTTGCCAACTACCTACCACGCTGCAATGGGAACTCTGAGACGTCCCAGGGGCCTGGCTCTGCATCCCAGGAGCCGGGCTCTGCTTCCCGGGGGGCCGGGCTCTGCTTCCCAGGGGCCGGCTGCTGGCAGGAATTTGTAGCAATGGGGTCAAGTGCACTGGGAAGAGGACAGCGCTTCACTTTTCCCTGTTGTGAAGTTAAACCAAAGAGCTTTTGGGTCATCAGGTTGCCTGCTCTTACACATGCGTCCAGGCCGTTCCACCCTCGCTGCAGTGTCTCTGAACTAGAGGCAATGGAATTACAAGCGGTCCCTGGTGCCTGCTGCTTTGGGTTGGTAATTCAGTGGGAAGTTGCCTCTCTCTTGCATTTCATCCAGGCTTTTAAAGAAGATGAGAAAACTCTTCCTGCTGGTGATGGCAGTTGATTTTTCCCAGGCTCAGAGCCCTGGCTGGGTAGCTCAGTTGGTTAGACTCAGCAGTGATGGCGAACCTTTTGAGCTCGGCATGTCAGCATTTTGAAAAACCCTAATTTAACTCTGGTGTCACATATAGAAATGTTTTGATATTTGCAACCATAGAAAAACAAAGACTTATATTTTTGATATTTATTTTATATATTTAAATGCCATTTAACAAAGAAAAATCAACCAAAAAAATGAGTTCACGTGTCACCTCTGACATGCGTCATAGGTTCGCCATCACTGGGTTAGAGCATCGTCCTGAGACGGCCAAGGTTGCAGGTTCTATTCTGGGTCAGGGCACATACAAGAGTCAACCAGTGAATGCATAAATACATGGAACAACAAATTGATGTCTCTCTCTCTCAAGTCAATTTTTTTAAAATCCCCCTGTCCCCACGTGAGCTGGGCATATGCCCTAAGATTATGGTGGGGCCACAGAAATTTCTCTTTCAGCTTTACAGTTGCGTGAGCTTGGTATGTGAAATCACATTTTATGTACAGGCTGTTATTGGGCGAGCTAATTTGGGCTAAGGGACATTTCTGCTTCCTTTGAGAGCTCAGATTTGAAACTGGAACCACGGTCGGCTGCCTGACACATCAGAGTCAACTAATAGAGACAAGGTTGAATCTTTGAGGTGATTTTATTCAGATGCTGGTGATCCGGCAGGTATAATACCCTGAAAAACCGCTATCTCATCTCATCTCATCTCATCTCATCTCATCTCATCTCATCTCATCTCATCTCATCTCAAGCCAGCCATTATATAGGGCTAGACTCGAGGCATTAGGAAGGTTGAGAACCACTGGGCTGAGGGTGGGGGAAAAACCTACACCAGTGTGAGTATCCAGGTCTGTTTTCTAACATTGTCCTCGCGAAGGTCAGCCCCCAGACGTCCCCCCTTCAGCGTGCCTTGTCCTTGATTTGCTCTCAAAATGTACCTTCTCTCTGAGTGATGGAGCCACCTGGACTTCAAGGTCAATTTATCTTTATGACTCTGTTTGTCTTCTTACAACACGTCCTCCACAGTTTTCCAGAATCTTTAAGAAAAATCTCATAGTTAGTGCAGTGAATAGCCATTAATCAACTATGATTCTGTTCTTATTGCGTACCCTACCCCTATCCTTTCCCCGTTAGTATCAAATCGCAGACCTAGGGGACTGGTTTCATATGGAAAGTGCTGCTGAAGTGCATTAGTCCTGGCCTGCCTGTCTCCCTCCCTCCTCAGAGACAGACTTCCCTCCCTGAAATCACTTAGGGGTGAGGAGGGCGAATGGTCTGTCTTTAGTAACTGCTTCCTGCTGACAAGGGCTGTGGCCCTGCCTCTACAGGGTGTGGACGTCTCTCCCTGCCTACCTGAGGGACATAGGGAATGTTCAGAGACTGGAACAGAGGCTGTTAGCTAACTCTCCCAAAGGAGGGACAGGCTGGAGTCCCCAAAGCATCATCATCTTTATTGATTGCTCCATATTTCATTGATTTAATTATTTAGCCTGAAGATTAGTTTTGTTAAATCATTGAGTCTCACTTCAGGAGATGGTGATGCAGATGGGCTTTCGAAGTGAGACCTACATTGTGTAAACAGTACCCAGGTATTTAATAAGGGTCTGCCTATGAAAACAGAAGAAAAACACAAAGGTTAATGATCAGAGCAAATTATAAACCAGTTTCTGAGTTTGTAAGACTGTCAGTCAAGAAGGGTTAAAGTTTCTTTTGCTGGAATGAAAGCAAGCAGTGACAATCTGATAGATCTTCTTTATCTGCAGTTTAAATATCTCTGGTGACGTCATCAGGTGCTCATAGATTCTTTATGGTTGACATTGTATCAGTAGCTCTCAATTACTCCAAGTCAAAGGATGGGAGAAAAAAATGAAACATTAACTTGGAGGGTTGAAGACATCTGGAAGATTCAGGAACCAGTTCAGTTCACAGTTAAAAACAAAACTTTAAACTTTGAAGACAATCAACTGTATTGTGATTTCCATTAAAACACAATTTTTCTCCCTAAAATGGCTGTCATTTTTATTAGAGACTTCATTAAATCTAGTTTTAATTTGGCCTGATTATGAAACCTGGGGCTCGGGGTGCAGATTCTTCTCGTGGGTTCTTGTCCAACAAAGTTAAAGAATAAATTTGTGGACTAATAGATTTCTTTAATAAAAATGTAGACGTTTATTGGAAGCATATACAAACTCCATCTGGGCAGGGATGTCCCCAAACGGGACCTCCTGGGGAGGGGCCCCCAACTGGAAAAGGCCTGCTCTCCCTCTCTCTCTCTCTCTCTCTCTCTCTCTCTCTCTCTCTAATGGGGAAATATCTAAATAATCTGAATCTCTCTTTGTCTCCGGGTTTATAAAGGCTGTAGCTCTTTGTCTGAACATGGCCTTTTCCAATTGGTTTCTTCCCTTACTTTGGGGCCCCCATGCTTTCCTCATTGGTCATGCTGCTCCATAGCATTAGTTTCAAAGCTCAAAGCCCACGTGGTGCCCTTCACATAGCCATCTTATCTGTTCAGGGTGGAGCTGCTTTTGCTCTCCCTTAGGGTTCTTCCTCCGTTGTCCTGGCCGAAGGTGTTTTATTATCGCTATGGCTCTCCCAGCTGCTCAGGTCAGGGCTGCTTTAATTGCTCAGGCCAAAGAGACCTCTGTCCTTCCTGGACCCCCCTCCTGTCTGCCTAAGTAAGCTAGCTAGCTAACCCTGATCAATTATTTGCATAAACACAAGAATAGATTGACTTTTAGTCAACCCCTCAGGGCACAGAAGCTAAGCCACAATGTTGCCATCTGGTTTTGCTTGGGCTACTTATAGGTTAGGGTGTGTTCCTCAAGTTCTTGGGGCCCCCAAATGTCTTGAGGTTCTTCTTTGCCATCTCCCAGGAAAGCAACCTTTGCTCCTTACCAAGAAAGACTGCCATGAGCCATATGAATAAGCAAGGTACCAGGACGTTTATCCCAGGGGCTTCTACCAGCTTTAAAAACAGTCCCCATTTCTTAAAGCTTTCTGGTGGCATCCAGATTCCTGGCGTTCTCTCGCAGACATGACATTTCAGTCAAAGTCTTGGTTAATAAAACCATAATTGGAAACTGGTTTATGTCCTGTTAAAAAGTAATCAGATTCTTATTGGATTTATGTGAACAAATATATAGCCATGAGATTAATAATACTCACTTATTAAAAGTTTTCAAATTAGGGAGGGATCAGGTAGAAAGAAAAATATAAGTGCCTCAATATTGTTTATGAAAGTCTAATTTACCAAATTGCTTTAAGAAAAGAAGCAAGTTTTCTTAAGCCTGGAAAACAGAAAGATCAAAAATCAGCAATATTTTCAACAAAAAGTTACCAAAACTACAATTATTTTCAGTTCATTCAGTCCCAAAACCAGTTTTTGTTGCTCTGGATTTTTGCAAGTATTTTCATAAGTTCAGACATTCCATAGAGTTTTAGTTATCCTTGTCCAGTTTAAGGGTATGATCTGAAAATGTATACTTAGAGACATGTAATTTAAAATAAGCCAGAGTCCTTTCCATGGATTTTTTAGAAGATGTAACATTTTTGTAAATGTATTATAACAAAATAATACTGTCTCTAAATGACAAAAAACAACCTTAAAATGAC